AAGTTCTCGCGAATGGAGTCAGCCCTTTGGCCTGGTCCAGTCCGCTGCAAACGCCGGGCCCCTGCGATGAGCGCTTATTTTTTTTTCATCCAGCAAGGCAAAATACCTTCAGGTGAAAACGCCTGTAAGATTTTTAACGGGGGAAAGTGCGGGTGGGGAAAAAAAAACAACAACCTTGGTCTAGGAAATTTCCCGCAGGATGTTCTAGGGATGCATCGAGAAAATCTGAACGGTGAGCGACTCCCAGTCCCAGATTAAGAACAGATATTTTAGGGAAAATGATTTAAAAAAAAAAAAAAAAGGCACATTCTTGTTGAGAACTCAGTCCCTTTGGGGCTGGGGCCTCCCAGTCCCACCCCTCCTCTTTGCCCCTCCCCGGCCAGCCGCTAGTCTAGGCTCTCGATTTGGCTCCAGTCGCCCCCCCACCCCCCACCCCCAGCTGGATGACAGCCACCAGATGCCCCACAACCCAGCCAGGTCACCCGGGGGCAGATGGGCGATTAACTCCAACTTACCAACGACTCCCGCCCACCTCACCCCTCTCTTTTCGAAAACAGAAAAGGGGAGAAAACTGGGTCTCCGCCTTCGCCTACAGTTTTAAGGGGCGCCGAGATTGAGCAGTCCTGGGTGACACGTGCAAGACAACCTCCCAAAGTAGGGCGCCCGTTTGGGGAGAAATATACATGTAGAAATGTACATTCACAGGCGTTTAAGGGACGTGTTGCTGGGAGGTCTGGCGGCCTGAGCTGGGAAATGCACACTCGGGCAAAATGTCCAAAGGTCACATTTATTCTGTCCCACAACAGATATTTATTTTGCACCTACGAAGCTAGCTGGTACTTTCCTTTTCCCTTTTGCTGTTGTTTTCCAGTCCAAAGCCTGTCCTGAGACTCGGGATTACCTGCCGCTTCCTTTCAAAGGGAACTAGTGTCCGGTGTGAAGAGCGAACGGCAAACGCGCTCCACGCCCAGAGAAAAGCACTAATTACGGAGAAGCGGCTTGGAGCTGAGGTCTTCCGGACCTGGGTTGTCCCTTCCGGGACTGGGGTCTTTTACCTCCAGGGAACCTGGCCCCGGGGCTGGAAGGGGCACGTGGTATCCCCTTCCCTGATCACCTCCATAGAAAACGTTGCCGAGGGCTGAGAGATCACCGGGAGACGCTGCTGCTCACACAACTAAATTCTTCCTAGGACGTGCGTTCTTGCTGAAAACGGACTAGACACGGTCCCCACTTTTGTTAACGGATTTTGGAGAGGGAGGTTGCAGTCCTTAATTCTCCAGGTGAAGGGAACCCCATCCTCCCGCACCCGCTTCCAGTCGGAAAACTCAGCGCTGCGTGTTTGCGCTGCCCTTCAGAGCATGCGAAACGCGCCCTGCGCCAGCAACACCCGGCTCCTGCCCTCGCGCCCGCATAGACGCGGAGGCGAAATTGGCCGCCCCCGCCGGGGAAATTGAGCCCGGCGCCGGTCCGGCACGCGGAAAAGGAGAAGGGGGGCTCTCAGACCTCGGTTTTCCAAGGTCTCCCCTGGGATCTGCTCGCACCTCCGAGTCTCCGCTCTCGGCGGCAGACTTCGAGGCGCTTGCTCAAGAACCGGCACCGAATGCCGGTCGCGTACATTGCAAAGCGCCGTCCCGTGCCCGCTTGTCTCGACCTGCGCCCTTTCCTCCTCACTCCCACCAGACTGAGAAGCGCTTAGCTCTTGGAAAGTTTATCTCTTGACAGATTGCTCCAGCTAAAACTGGGCCAGCAGCCTCAGTTTCCAAATCTGTAACATGAAGTCTGGGAGCGGGTTCCTGTTCCTCTAGCTCTGAGGTCCTCTAGTCTGGAACTACCAGCGTCTTCCCGGGGCAGGGAGAAGAGGTCAGGGGTGACCCAAGAAAGTCACAACGAAGAGAACCCAGCCCCTGGATGGGGGTGGGGTATTCGGCAGCGGGAGGCATCTACGTCCAGAAAGGCGAGACAGACCCACTCGCGAATCGACTCTGCCCACGCTCCAGGGTCCTCTCACGGCGGGCGGGCAGAGGGTTAAGCTAGGCACTGGGCGGGGGGGGGAGGGGAGGAAGAGGGGTGTCTTCTTGTTGCCTCGATCTCCCCATTCTGTGCAGAATAGAAACGTGGGCATCTCCAGTGTTGTTTGTGTGTGTGTGTGTGTGTGTGTGTGTGTGTGTGTGTGTGTGTGTGCGCGCGCGCGCGCGCGCCCTGTCCCATATAAATACACAGCTCCCACGCTCCCCTAACTGGGCTGCCCAGAGGTGGACCCGCGCGGGAGGCAATACCGCGTAGGAATTCCTGCAGAGAGAAATCTCAGCAGCAAAGCAGTCCTGATTGAGTGGAACACACCACCCCCCACCATCACCATCAAAGTTTCCCTGCAGGTCCTCCGAGTTGGAGACAGTTTCTGGGCTTTTGGCGCCCCCTCTGGATGCAGCTGAAAATTGCAGTCCATTTTATAAGGCTTAACCGATTTGTTTATCATAAATTTTCAGAAAGATACATGAATACGAAATGCTGGCACCAAACGAACCGAAAATGTATAAAGCATCGTAGTGTATGACTTAAAAGTCTACATTTTACGTATCCCTTATGACATAATTGTATTAAAATATACTTATATGTGTACGTATACACCTTGACACACATTTAGTGAAAATATTCAATATATCTTAAGGTCATAGTGGTCCTCACCGCCTTCATGTCAGTAAACACGGGAATTACGATAAAATACAACTAAACACAGACGTTCAGGTTTAAAGCTCTGCTCGACCATCTTTAAGTCTCCTGGATCAGGTGTTCTCACAAATACCCACATATCATTCTCACAAATACCCCTCCCCAGGACAGAGAAATCTGTCTATACTAACCGGGACTTTTTCTCCCAATAAAGGACGACGTCGTTCTTACAGCTTCTGAGAGTAATCACACAGCCATGAATATCAGGCTATTCTATCGAGGTCTCTTAAACTCGTAAACAAGCTAAAGACTACCAGAGGCAGCCAATGTGAGTCGCATTCGTTTAAAAAGTAAACATTGTTTAACAGGGTTGTAACTTACTACCTTCTGAAGAGTTCCGTTTTCTATAACAAATGTCGGCTTCTTCGGAAGAAAACGAGAGAAGAAAGATTTTTTTTAATCTTCAAGGAAAAAAAAAAACATTCATTTAAATCTTGTAATAGTGTCCGCAATTTACAAATGAGAACTAAACAAGTCTTTTATATGATGCGGGCCAATTCAATAATTTAATTCGAGGCGAACGTTTCCAAAAGCCAGGAAGAGGGAGTTTAAAATCAAGCGTGTTCCAGAGTTGCGCGTTTATTTGTGATTCTGAAGACACAACCCACAGATGACTAAGATTTTTCTTCTCTCCCAAAACTGATAACTTCTCACTTAGCCAACCTGTCTCGGAGGAGTTTGTGTAAACACAAAGGTAGTGCTCAAATCACACTTTGAAATACATCAGAGACACCCTCACCCCCTCCCCCAGGACTCCCAACTGTCTGCCGCTCAGAAAGGACAGGAGAAAAGTCAATACGACAGGCGCTTCGCCCCTCCAGGTGTTTGGTAAAGGAGAGCGAAAGCAGGCAAGCAGCCCAACTACCCCAAAGCGGTTTTGTCTGCAGCGGTGCCCATTTGTCCGGCCTTTTACCAACCAAGTGACCGGCCTGGGCCTGGCGGCCCGGGACGGCCCATTCGCCAAATTCGATCTCGAAAAACCGGAGGAGTTTGCAAACTCTTTCCAGTGGCAACTCCGCTGACGTTTTGGACTCGGCCGGGAGGCGAAAATCAGAACGTCAAAGCAGTTGCGCTGTCACTGGAGTAGGGGTGGAGTAGGGGTCTGCGGGGACTGGGGCAAGGGAAGGACTTGTCCGAGTTCAAGGTCGGTGTGGTGCAAGACGGCCCGCGCGAGCGCGGGGCTCCGGCGTCGCGCCTGCCGCTGCCGCCAGCCTTCGCGGGGACTTTGCTTTGCTTTTCATTGAATCCCTTTGCAAGAGCGCAGCCGAAGCCCGTCCAGCCGCGCCAGCCCCGGCGAACCCGAGCATGTTAATCTATTTATATGGATTATTACGAAGGAACAGAGGGCGTTGAGTCACCAAAACATTTGCTCCAAAAGACCATTTCTAAGCACTTTCGGAGGAGGCAGGCTCCAGGCGCGCAAACCGGGCTACACGTTCGGGAGCGGTTGCTTTTCCAATACTTCAAACTCTAGCTAAGTCCCCGGTGCCAGCGAGCAAGCAGTGAAAAGACATGCGGTGGGGGGGGGGGGGTGGCGGGAGAGGGAGGACAGGCCCTAGTCTAGACACACACACACACATACTCTCAAAGACTCGCACGGGGACGGCACCCAAATCCTGACGAACCGAGAGCGCGGCAAACTTACACACTTGGCCCTCCTGGGTCCCCCGCCTTCCCTGCAGCCCCCACCCTCACCACCCGGCCATCCACCCTTCGCCTGCGCTCCCCTCCCCTATCGTCCCCTCCCCTCTCGTCACCCAGCCCAGTGCCACAATCCTCCTCCCCCCAAAATCAGGTCCAATCAGCTGCCTGCCAACCCCTGAAATGACGGGCTGCGATTGGCTGAAAGTTTCTAAGGTGGTGGTGGGGAGTATTTATTAAAGAGACCCCGGGCTGAGAGTTGGAGAGCGGAGAGCGGAGGTTGAAACTGCCTGGAAACTTCAGCCGCGCTGCGACTTGCCAGTTTCACCCCGGGAACTTTTCTTACCTGGAGGAGGAGACAAGGGGTGTAAAAGCCCCTACTTGTGCTCTTTCTTCCCCTCCCCCTCCTCTCCAAGTTGCCTTCTCCCACTTGAAGCGGGCACTGCGGGCTGGCCACCCCGCGCCCTCCTAAGTGCTCGCCGCCGCAGCCGGGGGACGCGCCAGCCTCCTTGGGCGCCGTTCGCTCCGCGTCCGGGCAGTCGAGGGGAAAGGAGACCGCGCCTCACGTTCCAGAGCCACCGCGGCTTCTCGCCTTTCCCGGCCACCCGCCCCCTGCCCTGGGCCCGCGCATGAATCTCTTGGACCCCTTTATGAAGATGACCGACGAGCAGGAGAAGGGCCTGTCTGGCGCCCCCAGCCCCACAATGTCCGAGGACTCGGCGGGCTCGCCCTGCCCTTCGGGCTCCGGCTCGGACACCGAGAACACGCGGCCCCAGGAGAACACGTTTCCCAAGGGCGAGCCAGACCTGAAAAAGGAGAACGAGGAGGACAAGTTCCCCGTGTGCATCCGGGAGGCGGTCAGCCAGGTGCTCAAGGGCTACGACTGGACGCTGGTGCCCATGCCGGTGCGCGTCAACGGCTCGAGCAAGAACAAGCCACACGTCAAGCGGCCCATGAACGCCTTTATGGTGTGGGCGCAGGCGGCGCGCAGGAAGCTGGCCGACCAGTACCCGCACCTGCACAACGCCGAGCTCAGCAAGACGCTGGGCAAGCTCTGGAGGTAGGGCCTGGGCGCGCGGGCCGGGTGGGCGCTGCGGCTGCTGGGGGCGCGGGCCGCACTGTCCCCGCCCAGCTCCCAGCGGGGAGAAGGCACGGAGGGGTGGGCGGGGGAAGTTGGGATGAGAGTAACCTGGCTCCGAGTTTGACAAAGTTCTGGGATGGCTCTCGGGGAAAGAGGGGAGGGGTAGCCGGAAGATGGGAGGGGACTTGAAGGAGACAAGGTGGGAGGGAGGCTGCCAGCCCCAATCGCCCATCGCCATGAAGTTCTACCCCGGGAAGGGGGTTTGGGTGGGAAGTGAAGTTTTCCTCTCTCGCCTCCAAACCGCGCTGTCGTGCAGCCGAGCACCCACAGAGATGGGGGTGCAGGCAGAGCCGGAAGCAAGAGGAGACGCGTCCCGGCGGGGAGGGAGGAGACAAGGAGGGAAGCTGCTGGAAATAGGTGCGGGCCGTGAGGAGGTGGGGAGCTTCTTGCAGTTTAACTGGATTTTCCGGGAGTTTTTAAAGGGTGTTGAGGAGTTTGGGAGGGGGCATACTCCAGTAGCCTAGGCGTTTGGAGCAGCAGCAGCGGGAGCCTGTTTTCTTTTGCAGGGTTTCCAGAATAGCAGAGAGGGGGGCGGGGCAGAGTGACCGCTCAGGTCGGCCTAAGAACAAGACTGCTTTTTTCTTTCTTTCTTTTTATTATAATTAGTAATATTACTTAAAGCATGGTTGTGCGCTGCGGCAGTGGCTGGAAAGGAAGGAAGAAGGGGAGGGGGGCGATGTGCGAAGAAATCCAGAGATCGGGTCACCGCCCCCTCCCCGCCGACCTGACAGCTCGGCGGCAATCGATTGACCACCCCACCCCACCCCCGCCACCCTCCCCCTTCTCCCCAGGCTGCTGAACGAAAGCGAGAAGAGGCCCTTCGTGGAGGAGGCGGAGCGGCTGCGCGTGCAGCACAAGAAGGACCACCCGGACTACAAGTACCAGCCGCGGCGCAGGAAGTCGGTGAAGAACGGGCAGGCGGAGGCGGAGGAGGCCACGGAGCAGACGCACATCTCCCCCAACGCCATCTTCAAGGCGCTGCAGGCCGACTCGCCGCACTCCTCCTCCGGCATGAGCGAGGTGCACTCGCCCGGCGAACACTCGGGTGAGTCCCCCCGCGGCCCCCGCGTGAGGCCCCCTAGCCCCGCCTGGGACACCCCCAGGGATCCGCCTGGCAGCCTCTGCTTGGGGACTTAGCGCTCTCAGGGGAAGGTCACGCTCCCCTTCCTGCCCAGGCCCCACGAGGCCCCTAACCGCGCGCGAGCACACACACAGAACACACCTCAACCCGATCCCTGTATCCTAACAGATGAATGTTTTATTGCGAAGTTTTACAAGACGTGCCCCTTCTCTTTGCGCCCCCACCCCAAAAGCACACACAGGCTCTTCCACAAGTAGCAATTTGGTTTTCCGGATCCTAGGGGCCTCAGACCCTCCCCTGATTAAAGGAGAAGAGCGAGTTAATCATTCCATGACTTATCTCCAGCGCAGTGCGCCTCCCGCGCGGGTGTGGGTCTTTATTACACCGTAGCAGGGAGGCAGGGAGGGTCCCCGGAGGGCTCCTAAGACTTGCCTTTGCACAACCCATGTTGATTTGTCGGTGCTTCTTCTTCCTCCGTTGCCTGCAGGGCAATCCCAGGGCCCACCGACCCCACCCACAACCCCCAAAACCGACGTGCAGCCTGGCAAGGCTGACCTGAAGCGAGAGGGGCGCCCGCTGCCCGAGGGGGGCAGACAGCCCCCCATCGACTTCCGCGATGTGGACATCGGTGAGCTGAGCAGCGACGTCATCTCCAATATCGAGACCTTCGACGTCAACGAATTTGACCAGTACCTGCCGCCTAACGGCCATCCTGGGGTGCCGGCCACGCACAGCCAGGTCACCTACACAGGCAGCTACGGCATCAGCAGCACCGCGGCCACCCCGGCGGGCGCGGGCCACGGGTGGATGTCCAAGCAACAGGCTCCGCCCCCGCAGCAGCCGCCGCAGGCCCCGCAGGCGCCCCCGCAGCAACCCGCGGCGCCCCCGCAGCAACCCGCGGCGCCCCCCCAGCAGCAGCAGGCGCACACGCTCACCACGCTGAGCAGCGAGCCAGGCCAGTCGCAGCGAACGCACATCAAGACGGAGCAGCTGAGCCCCAGCCATTACAGCGAGCAGCAGCAGCACTCCCCGCAGCAGATCGCCTACAGCCCTTTCAGCCTCCCGCACTACAGCCCCTCCTACCCACCCATCACCCGCTCGCAGTACGACTACGCCGACCACCAGAACTCCGGCTCGTACTACAGCCATGCTGCGGGCCAGGGTTCGGGCCTCTACTCCACCTTTACCTACATGAACCCCGCGCAGCGGCCCATGTACACCCCCATCGCCGACACCTCCGGGGTCCCCTCCATCCCGCAGACCCACAGCCCCCAGCACTGGGAACAGCCGGTCTACACACAGCTTACCAGACCGTGAGGAGACCAAGGGTGCCGTCGCCGCGAAGATCATAGAAATAACCGAAGCAAGAAAGAAACAAGCAGAATCTCCTTGGGACATTTTTTTTCGTATTCCTTACAGACATTGAAGCTGAAGGCAACTCGTAGACAAATTCCAGTATAGAAACACTACATCCAAACGCATGACCACCTTCTTGCGAGTCCGTGGCCAGGCCACTGGGCTAGATGGACCAGCAGAAAAGACGAGAGACTGGACTGAAAACTTTCTTCAGAGTAAGCGTGGAGGATGATGGAGAATCGTGTGACCCATTTGCTCAATCTCTCTGCCTGTTTGGACTTTGTAATTATTTTTTAGCAGTAATTAAAGAAAAGAGTCCTCTGTGAGGAATATTCTCTATTTTAAATATTTTTAGTATGTACTGTGTATGATTCATTACCATTTTGAGGGGATTTATACATATTTTTAGATAAAAAAATTAAATGCTCTTATTTTTCCAACAGCTGAACTACTCTTAGTTGAACAGTGTGCCCTAGCTTTTTCTTGCAACCAGAGTATTTTTGTACAGATTTGCTTTCTCTTTAAAAAAAGAAAAAGAAAAAAAAAGTGTGTCAGTGCATTAACAAAAAAACCACACAAAATTGTGTTATGTGATCAGTTTTGGGGGTTACCTTTGCTTAATTCTGCAGGCTTTCTGATTCGAGACGCTGCCTTAAAGAAATAATAAAGGCCTTATTTTTGCAAATACGGAAGTAAACAATAGTCTAAAGAAGCATTTGGTAAGCTTTATTATATATATTTTTTAAAGCAAGAGGAACACCTTGAGCCTTAAAACAATGCTGCTGGAAAATAACGTGCTCACTCTTTTAGTGCAGTTCCCCCTGCCTTTGCTCGTTTGCTCCCATTACAAGAAAGAAGCAAGGGAAAGGCAAGCAAAAGAGAGGATACCTGTTTGGGGAATGTTTAGCAGCCAATGAGTGCCCCAAGCTCACTGCCCCCTGGTTGCCTGCCTGCCTGGGTGCCATGTGGGACACAGATTCTGGCATCAGCTCTCTCAGATTGTCACCTGTGCCTCTCTGATCACCAGCAGTTAACCGTCAAGACATTCCATGTGCTAAAATTATTTATTTTGTAAGGAGAGGTTTTAATGGGGGAAAAAAATTTTGTTTTTAATTTACCTTCTTTAAAATAGGTTGTTGGAGCCTTCCTCAAAGCGTATGGTCCTCTGTTAAATTATGTTCTTAACTGTAACCAGTTTTGTTTTGTTTTTTTATTTATCTCTTTAATCTTTTTGTTTTTTATTATTAAAAACAAGTTTCTTTGCATTCCTTGTCCTAGATTTGTACAAATGCCTTTTTGTCCGTCCTTTTTCTTTTTCTTTTTTTTTTTCCTTTGTTGTTTTTGTTGCAAACAAACTGGAAACTTGGTTCTCTTTTTGTACAAATGAGAGATTGCAAATGTAGTGTATCACTGAGTCATTTGCAGCGTTTTCTGCCACAGATCTCTGGGCTGCCCAGTTGAGTGTGTGTGTGTAGTATGGCACAAACTAATGCAAGCATGTGTCATGGATATTCTCCTGCATGTTCTCTTGGAGGGGGGGAAGCAGAGGACTGACAAACCTTAATTACTGCTGTGGCTGGAGAGTTTGAGGATTGCTTTTTAAAAAAGACAGCAAACTTTTTTTTTTTTAATTTAAAAAAAAGATATATTAACAGTTTTAGAAGTCAGTAGAATAAAATCTTAAAGCGCTCTTATAATATGGCATCTTTCAATTTCTGTATAAAAGCAGATCTTTAAAAAAAAATATTTCTGTAACTTAAGAAACCTGGCATTTAAATCACATTTTGTCTTTAGGTAAGATTTGGTTTGTGTTCGTGCTTTGTCGGTTCCACTTGTTTTCCCCCAAACCTTTTGTTCTCTCTGTGAAACTTACTCCCCGCTCCCTTTATTTCTCTTTTCTTTTGTTTTTGTATATTATTGTTTACAATAAATATACATTGCATTAAAAAGAAAATGGCCTTATGAATTTATCCACCCCGTTCCCCTATTAAAAGGATGAATTGAATCTGGGCACACGAGATTGTTAAGTGCTGCTTGCGGTGATGGTTTCGTTTTTGTTTTTTAATGTGCCATTTTAGAACGTAACTGTCCCCAAGTATCTAAGCAGAAAGATCTTGAAAAGTGGCACCCCATTAGATCAAATCAAGAGTCACATGTCAGTAGTTGCCCAGTCTGGCAAAATGCTTGTTGTGGTTTTAATCTCATGCCTCAGGGCAAAAGCTGTTCCCTTGTGGAGGTCAGAAGGGAATATTAGACCTGAAATCAGTAGCTTGTCAGTAGAGACAGAATGCCAGAGGGAGTGACTTGCTCGTCTTAATTTAATATAGCAAACTTTCTGCTGTTAGGATCACATACCAAAGAAATGGGGTGCCTATTTAAAAGGCAAAGAAAGCCCAAGTGCAATAGAGTCGAAAGTGGACCGGAGGGAAGCATGTCATATTAACCCATTATATATGTCACAGCCTTCCTGGTGTCTCTGCAGAGACAATGGAATGAGATTACCTTTTTTTTTTTCTTTTTTTGGTTCCCTCTAGTTTAACTCCTTCAGAGCAGATGCAAAGCCATAGTAGAAGTCATAAGACCTAATCTTGTTTTCCTTGGCCTCAGTGAGGTGGGGAGTTTCCAGAATCAGAAACATTCAGGTCATTTTTTCATAAAACAGATGAAATCACCCCTTCCCTCCCATCCCCACACAGACACACCCCCAGCTGACTAGGGAAGCATCTCCAAGCGGACCAGTCAGCTCCCCCACCTCAGGCTCGCGTTATGTTACTGTTAGGCCCATGTTGCTCACAGTCTACCAGCTTCCCACCTCTCTGATATTACCTCACTCATTGTCTGTTTTTGCTTATTGGATTCCTGGCTTACCGCCCACACCAGGATCACGGCAACCAGGAAAATAGTAGTTATCAAATCGAGGCAACATTAGTTGTCGGCCTTCTTTGCAAATTCCTTCAGCAAACATTGACTGAGTGCCTGTGATCGGTGGGGCACTGGGCAAATCCCTCCCTGCCCCATTCAGACCTGGAATCCTGTTCCTTGTTGAGACCACACTATCCCATTAGCTCAGGGCCAGAGTCTGTCCTACATGCTTCTAAAACCTCTATTCCCCAACACCCCCGGCCCTGGCCAAGACTCACAAAATCCTTTTTTAAAAAAACCTCTTTAGTGTTCACTAATTCTTGGGCATCCTTAGCCGCCCTAATCCCTTTTTCTATGAAAATCAACACATACCATTTTACCAGGACCACTCCGTGTCCCGACCAGCTCTCTACTGATTGCTTAATTGTTCTCTCTTCTCCTAGGAAGATGTTCTGTTCCGCAGCGTGTGACCTGTGGCAGGCCCCCTTGGAGCCAGAATGTTCTGTTTCAGCATAAACTTGCTAGGTGACTGAGGGCAAGTTGCTTTACATTGCCTGTGCCTCGGTTTCCCCTTTTGCGGAGCATGTTTATAATCCCTCCCTCTTGCAACGGGGTTGTTATTAGAGCAGTTTTTAGCAAGGAGCAGCCTGGGAGTCGGCAGTGTCTGAATCTCCTGGCCTCCATAGTAATCCTAACGAATTGGGTGATGCCCAAGAAAAGGGGTTTTTCACAAGTTCCCCAAGTGGTTCTGATACGCAGTAAAATACAAAGGACCCTGGAGTGCAGGAAGAGAATGCCTTTGAATCCCCCTCACCCCATCCACCAGATCTCCCTGAAGCCCAATATCACCAGATTACAAAATAGTTCAGAGGAATTTTGTATTCCAAATCCTGCAACACAGCTTATCCCTCTGGCAACAACACCACAGTAACGGTTCTCCAAACCTAGGACAGAGCCTTCCATACTAGAAAAGATTGGTTTATAGGTCCAAGGTTATTTATTTACTTGCACTCAAAATAAGACCTATTTTTTGGGCGACTTTAACAAAAAAGGAATTTTTTTTTAAACAAAAGGGAATCAAAAACAAACTTGTTTCGAATCAGCCTTCTGGGCTATTATTAAAATAGCACCACGTGGCTTAGTTTGAGCTAGGTGTTTGATTTTCCCACCTCAACGCCAGCCCATCCTTTCCTTCCTCTGATTTCCAAAGTGAACATTTTCAGGCACCCACTGTGGGACTTATAAATTACTTGATGACCTATCGCTGTAGCCAGAGAAGGATTTACCAGGAAGCTAATGAAGTTTAAGCTTCAGGACCTCCCATTGGTGTAGGCTCCGTCTAATCTCATATTTATTTATATTTCTTTTCTTAAAGAGCACCCTAGACCCCCACCCACAAAACCGTATAAGCTTCAAGCCTCACAAACCGAGGTCTGCCTGTGACCACACCTCTGGCCAACAAAAATATCAGAAGCTGCAAGCAAGATACTTTTCTTTCAGAATGTGGACCGTGACACTTGACTCTTTTTGTTTCTTTATTTTTGCAGTTTTCTGTTCTCAGCAGTGTCTTCCACAAACCAGTCACAGGGGAATCAATTCCAGCTCATGGCAACCCCCTGTATGTCAGAGCAGAACTACACTCCATGAGGTTTTCAATAGCTGATTTTTTGGAAGTACATTGCCAGATCTTTCTTTCAAGGCACCTCTGGATGGGATCAAACCTCCAACCTTTCAGTTAGCAGTCGAGCACTTTAAACATTTGCACCACCTAGGGACTCCATCTGCTACACTGTAGGTGCCCAATAAATTTAATAAATTCTAACGTTTCATCTTAACCGTGACCCTGATGGCAATGCCACAGAACCCATTAGTGGGGTCGCTATGAGTCGGAATCAACTCGATGGCAATGCATTTGACTTTTGGTACCCTAACACTCTACCACTTACCATTTGACTTTGGGCAAGTTTCTTATCCCTTGAAGACTTGCATCTTCATTTCTCAGATGATGGTAGTAATATCCTCTCACAGACATAATGAGGGTTAAATGAGGGAAAGCACACAACAAATGTTCGTCACTTGTACCCTTCATTTCTTTATTT